GACCAGGCCTCAGTGATGGCCAAAGTGGAGGAATCGTCCTCTGGTGTCCAACCACTGGCAAGCAGGGCTTCAGAACTTGGAATTTCCACTAAAACTACTATTCTCAGCAACCCTTCACCCCCCCCCCCCAAGTCTTTACACCTCAAAGAAGTTTCTTATAATTCTCAACTCCTCTGCATTCTTAAGGTCTGTAGTATTCCAATGCAGGGGAGGGTGGAACCATCACAGAGAGGCAGTGAGAAGCCTGCTGCAACAAAAAAGTGGCCCTTGCTGCCTTAAGGCCAGAAATGGTTTTTGGAAAGGAAAAACCCTAATCCCTACAGGAAGCTCAGGATGAATGATATCTTCCCTTAATTCTAGACCCAATTAAAAATAGGGAAATAATTAATCTATACAGTTTGCACATTTGGTTAAAATGTATCTATGAAAGTTAACCTTACATATTCCCACACTTACTTTGAGGCACAAGACACATGGACTTTCTCCATATACATAACTATAAAAAACCCTCAAAAGAACATTAATTTCAAAGTAAAATACTAAAATATTATGAACGCAATCTTAATTTACTACCATTTTATATATGCATTAGGACGCTGCCTTTCATTGCCTAATCATACTCTTTCCCACAGGACCCTTGAGGGAGCAAAAGTGGTATGAAGTGAACTCAGATGATCCTCTGCATTGTTCATCAGTGGGATTCACACCCAGGGTTTTCAGATCCACAGCACAGATCTAGACTGTTTGAGCTGAAGGAGTAACTCCGCTAGCTGGTGTACTATACTGTGTAATGCACTGAACCAGTAAGTTACATATGCAGCAATAGCCCCATTTTTGCAGACAACATACTCAAGCATATGGAGATGACACTGTTTGAGGCAACTTGACTGTAAATAACACTTGCATCTGCCATATTAGAGAACTGTGTAAGCATACAAGGCCTTGCTCAGTAATAATGGTTGTGAAGTGCACACAATTAATACCAGGCACTAGTACTACAGAAGAACTCAATCATCTTCCCAATCCAGTATTTCCATTTTGCATCTCTCCCCCTCCCCCTTATGAAGATTTCATCTCTATGTAATTGCTTTGGAACATGGGTGGTGTAATTGAAATTTTCAGAAAATGAAGGAGCATCCAATAAGCTCTCTATGCAAGTAGAAATTTCTGTGGTTTGTAACTATCAAATCTAGGACTGGACTTTCACAAGAATAGCCAAAGGCCCATCCCTGTTCCCAGCACTATCATCTTGCTTAATTTCATAGTGTTACTTTACACCACAGAACTACCAGAGCTGTTTAAAAAAAAGTCTGAAAAGTTAAAATTAGCAAAACTTTCTACTTTTCATTAGCCTTGTTAACAGGATTAAAAACTTTCTGCTCAATAAATTAAGCTGAGGCATGTAAAAATTCAGCAACACCAGTTAATTTAGTATTGTTATGAACATTTGGAAGCATGGGCTTAATAATAGAAGTGTTATGTAAATGTGTTACAGCTGCTTGACCTATGATGCATCATTTATTGTAGCAATTTAAGTGTAATCTAGTAAAGATCTGGGGAAGGGATTTTATTTAAAGTATAATGGAGGAATAAAGTATCAGTTATTCAGTAGGTGGATAAGATGTAAAAACCTAGTTCAACCTTCAGTAAGCTCCTGGCTCCAGACCCTTCTCAGACCCACTCTTCTCTCCCACCCTAAATGCAACTATTTCCTCATGTTATTTGGTACGCCACAGTAACTACTTACCGGTTTCTTCATCTGGACAAAAAGCTATGCTACTGAGTAGGTTAGGAGTGGAGATTTGGCATTTTGAAGCTTAAGAGGATTATAAAGTGCTTGTCCCATAAATTCATATATTCCATAGTTGGTAGGTAAGCATCCTCTTCTGCAAGCATCCTTTTCTACTGCCAAGATACATGGAAAACTTGGACCAACCACAGATACTTCTAACCGGTCTGCTCTGTTGTACCCAAATCCCTGCCCAGGTTTCGATTCCTATCACATTCAGACTTAAAAGCCACAAGAGAACTCTCCTACCAAGAATCAAGTAGGACTCTTGCTACAACATGGATAGTGAGAACAGCCTCACAGAATTTCATATTTTTCCTGTTAGACTGTTTAAGGACATAGAAGGGAGGTGTACATGTGTCAAAGAATATTAAATAAACAGCTCAACCTTTTCAAAAGGTATGTTTTGGGTGTTTATGCAGAACTGTTACACATACTTAAGTTAGCACTATTATGCTTCATAAAAGATTTAATAAAATGAACCCTAGCCTTTAGAGTTGTGAAGATTGTATCAGCTCACACACCTAGCAGGATACGATCCCAAAGATGACCTAAAAATAATAGCTCAATGACATGAACTGCTCTCATAGGGTGGGAATTTTAACACCAGAATATTCAATGTTCTCCATAGTTGGAGATACTCTGCCTCATTTTGTCAATGTGAGAACTTCAACATCCTTCCAAAATGCAAGGTCTCTTGTGCCCTTCCCAAGAGGAGAGGAAAGATGGTGAATCCCCTTCTCAGAGCAAGAGATTTAAGTTTCGTAAATACGTGGGGGGGGGGGGGGAGGGGGAGAGAAGAGGGAGGGGAAGCCAGCCTCCTACACCTTCCCTGGGCGTCAGAAGGCTACAATGACGTCCCAACCCACCTATTAAAACCGGTTTCCCTTTCTCCTTTCCTGACAAACTTCTACAGTTCTGTTACTTGTCAGAAAGTTGAAAGTTTGGTAGTGATATATAATAGATTTAATTTATCAAAAAGAGTGTAAGAAATAATGTATAGCTTGGAATGGGAAGTGTTTTCAGAGTATACTACTGTTTAAATTGAGTTCTGCCACATAATGTAGGTCTGATACCTATACATCTATAAGATTCCCATACAAATCCATAAGACAGCAGCAATATAATTGAGTACAGATTACTTTCTGGAACAGAATTTTAAATTAAGATGAAGGATCTGGCCACTGTGGATAAACCTGGAGAGGTCCTCATAAACCAGTATCTTGACTTTCTTTTATGACTTAAAAGATTCTATAATTAGAAACACCAATTCCCTGACTAACTCTTATCCTTTGAGTCATTTGCTTGTCAGTGACCAGAATCTCAACTGAGATGGCCAATGCCACACCCTATAATTAGTTTGATCAAGGACAGAGTGAAACACTAATTTCCACCCAAGATGCATTGCCCAAGACAACACATGAGCAACCTTGAACAGTTCATTAGTAGGTTACAGTATTCAAACAAGACTGCTAAAGACAATATTCTAGAAGTGGAACCGAAGTTTCACCAAGCTGTAGTCTGGTGTTGCTATTTGTCTCACAGGTCACTGAAAAGAAACAGTTACCAGTTAGGAACTGATCCTACCAGCACTACTGACAGTAATACCAATTTTCAAGTACTCCCAAATACCTAGCAGCATTTTTCAGGATCAGGCCCTAAAACAGAAGTAGGGAAAAGAGGAAGCAATGTTTTCTTAATAAATTGAAATTATGTAATTTCACTTCAACAGCCCTTCCCTTTTGAGGGACTTGCCAGGACAAAAAAAAGGGAGGGTGGGGGGAAAATCAGTAGAATTCACAGTGCTTCTGGCACACCAGCATGCCCTTAAGTGAATTCAGCTGCTTTTGGTCGCTAGTTTAATATTAATGTTGTCACATCACTATATTTTTAAATGCCAGACTGATATTACCATAACCATATCAGATGCTGAGAACATGTCTTAGTCTCTCTAGTGAAAATTAGTGGCAATGCTTAGACTGTTCTACAAGCTTTCAGTCTGAAATATTTGTGGATGACATATTGTAAGAAAATAGTATGAACTAAGTAATTAAACAAACGCATGAGCTTTGCATAAAATTAATTGTCATCTTTCACCTAATTTATTTAATTTCCAATTTTTCCAATTCCAAACAAAAGCTAAATACAAATTTAAACAGGTAAGCACTAGTTTTACCCAAAGGGAGCAGGCTTATACAGATTTACTCCAGTAAAGTACTCAACCCTTAAGCAAAAGCCTTCTTTGTCATCAAAACTATACAGTAGTCTTCCTTATTTCATTGCACAGTCTTAAAATGTTCTGCCAGAACCAACTTTTGACACTCCAAACACTATTTTACAGTGAAGTTCACAACTGCTTTATAACGTCTATTTCAAAAACCCTCAATGGGTTTTCCATAAGAAATGTTTTAGAAACCAGTATTTTCCTGCAGTTCGCCAGCAAGTTTACAAGTCTCAACTCTCAAGAAAAAATAATTCTCTACCAAGAACATGGTTTCTGCAGCTACTATTTTACTTTTAGCTGCTTTAACTACTTCAGACTCCAGGTCTGCCTCATAATCTGTATAAATGTATCCAACTCAACAGAATACTTTTTTATACAGTTATACAGCAACTTGGGGAAAGATCCAAAAGTGAAAGTGCCAGTAAACTTAAACATGGCCCAGCAAAATAAAAAAAGGCAAGAAATGCCTACACTGAATGAGATGCTTTTTTCCTTATAAGAATTCTTTCCCCACATTTACATTTCTATTGTAACAGCCACTTTTCTGTTCATTAGAATGAATAGGATAGTGCTCTCTGATACAATCATTAACAGCAAAGCTATAAGGCTTTTATACCCGTTACATTCACTTCTCACCCTCCAAATACTGATGACTAACATTAGATGTTAGGGGCATGATCAGCACAAATGGGAACACCACCACCAAATGATCACCTTGTGCTTTCAGATACATTTGTTTCAGTGTACAACAGTCCTTTCATTTCACATTTTAGTAAGATGCTGACACAATGCAAAAATATGCAGAGCATCCTCTCTTTCACAAGGTCCATGCAGAAAACATTTAAAAAAATTGTAAAGTTCTGATACAAATGATTAAAAAATAATCCAGGATGATAAAGTTTCACAATGTATAGTGTTCTGAACATGAGTCCATTTTCTTCTAAATTCTGAAAGAATGAAGTGGTGAGGAAAGTGAGAATTCACTGCTGCATTCTGTGATCTTCCCCATTTTGCTGGCCAGTACCCTACTCTGGCATGTAAGGACGGAGGTGATCCTCTATGGTACCAACCGCCCAGTGGGTGAGCTGTTCCTGTGGCAGGTACAGGCAGATGCTGCATAACTTGAAGATTGTAGCTTTGTTTTTTGGAGTCTGGGAGGGGGAAAAAAGAAGAAGAGAAAAAAAAAAGCATTTAGTTTGTTCAGACCTAACATGTAGTCAAACAAAAAGTTACATTTGCACAGGTTTAATATTTACCCTTCCCCACTCAAAACAATCCCTACAAATAAATGAAAGATTCTTATAACCACTCTGCTTCAACCCCTTCTGTGTATGCAGTCTGATCAAAATATTGAACAATGTCAAACTATTTAACAAGTTTTTACAACCATGAGTGGAATTTGACAAGTAGTATAGTGTCTTTGAAAGAGGGGCTAACAAATTAGACTTAGTGTGTGAAGATTTAACATTAGCTTTAGAACAATTAAGAGATTCACCAGAATATATTTTCATACAAAAATAAGTTATTCAACTCTACATGGGGAAGCTACACCGCCACATCTCCTCAGGCTGAGATCTCAGCTCTCAAACTAAATTGAATATAATCTGGTCATGGTCAGCATGCAGAATAGAGAGGCAGCACTATTCTCTGCTTCAGTACCAAATCAATACCCCAATATTAAGGTACACTGTTTGAGCTCCCCATGACTATGAGTAGTCAGGATCTGCTGAAGATCACTTGGCATTTTGAGACTAAGGTGGTAGCTACAGTGTTTCCTAGCCAGAAAACAGTTTGGATAATTAGAATTCCCCAATTTCCTCCAATAGTTTCAAATAGATACTGTACTTGCTTCCTGTTCTGTCAGTTGCATTTAACAAGCTATTAAAATAAGATCCTGTTTTCAACCTCAAGATTGCTGAGTTTGCCTCGTTTACACAAAGCTGTTCTAAATTAAGGGTGGGAGAAGTTGGTGGTAAGATGTGGTATAGAGGTAGGCTTCTGCAACCTTTTGGGGTTTGTGTAGCTCATGTGGTCATGCATTGCGATTCTAGTCCAAAGCATGAAGAGCTTGTCCAGAACTACCAGCTTTCTTTGGTTGTTTTAAATTAACCCAAACATTTATAAGTATTTATTTAGGAAACATTGAGGTAAACCCAAGGATTTCAAGGGAATTCTGAAAAGAAGTTACATTTGGAACAGCAGAGGTTTTACAAGTGAGTTTAGAAAGGTAGCCCTCTTTTGATATTTGAACAAGTGAGAGTTACAGTTAAATTAGAAGTCTTTGGATCCTGAATTGTCAGCCCTGCTTGAGGTTATTGCAGCAGCCACCCAATAAGAAAGTACTTGCTATTGTTCGCTAACTTTAAATTTGGATTTTTTTCCTGCCATGGTTATGCCAGTTTGATCAGTTTAAAAAACAAAACAGAATTGTTTCAAGCATTAGTCATTTAAATGTAATACATTTCTAACTTGATATCTATTTTCAAAGTTCCACGTACGGTTTCTGCTGTAGGGAAAGGGGAACAATATTAGGGATTTGCAAGTCACCAGTAGCCTCCTGGAACACTGGAAGATTGGGCTGGGATCTCTCTCCCTATACACAAGAAACACTCCGCTTTCCTCCTCAACTTCACCGCTGTGTTGACCAAAGACAATATTTGGGATAGCAAGGGAAATACCATTAAGAAAGGCAAAAGAGATTTAGTAGTCAAGAAGGCAGTTACAAATCACAGCAATCCAACTATTGGTGGAGGAAACTGGCATAGGTTATATCATTGAGGAAGCCCTAATTTAAAGGGTTTGCCTTACTGTTTTCTGAGCAGGGCATATGCAAAGCAGTGGTCTGAGCAACGCTTCTGGTGAGTCAATGACTAGTTATATTATTTTCTTACACCAGGTATCTTAAACCTGAAAGGGCCTGGAAAGCTAAAGATGCCAAGAGAAGGGTGGGTGGCAACTCTTCCCTTCCTTGAAATTCTGCATCAAAGAGGGTGTGGTGAGCAAAGGAAGAAAACTTAGTGAAAACTCCTCTAGATTAGTTGGAAGAGGAGACAAATTAGGTTAGGCTACTAGATACACACACACACACACACACGGAAATTTTACTTCTCAAACTAGAGACTCTTCCAAGTCCAGCATCGTAGTCTTATGAAAGAGAAGAGGCAACCTGTATTAGCTGTTTCGTGCTAGCTACTGTATATGGAAATCAGACAGACAGTCACTGGCTTCCTCTTCCATGAGGTTTTACATAATGGTTTAGAGCAAGGGATTGGTCTGAAAAAGGGGTCTGCTAAAGGAGGAGTTGAGTGAGCAAAGACTTAAGTTTCCACAAAGCTTGTTGTCCCTGTTTACAGGGCTTTGGAGCGGAGCCCGGAGCAGCAGGTTTTTGCCTGGAGCGGAGCCGGAGCACAGCTCCAAAGCCCTGCCAGCTTATATAAAGTCCTGACATCTACTCTCACAAGTGGTATGGAAAAAACTTGATCTCAAAACAGTCTCAATATTCTGGATGGCAACCATTTGTTAACACTAACTCTTGCTTCTAGGTAAGTTAACATACATGGCAAAATATAAACTTAGTGATTAGTTTGATTTAGCAATTTCTTCAGTCTATAGCTAACATAACTAATTGTGGAAGGTATTGTCCTTCTCCAGCAATAGTAATCCTACTTTTAACTGTTGCTGTTCAAAAAAATTGTTAAAAAGCTCATTACCTAGCTTTTGGACAAAATGATCAGTTTTAAAACCTGCAAGAATGGGGGCTGTTGCAATGGAAGACAGATTCAGTTCTACATAGATACTAGTGAGCATGGTATAAGAACCTGAGAGCCTTCCAGTGCAGCATGACTAACATGTCATATGTTTGTTCTCATCTTCTCCTCAGGGGGACAAGCATGCACAGCAATTTTCAAATACATGTGTATACTAGAGAAAGCAAAGTCAAAGAACTTCTCCAAGTTCAAGCTACTTAAGGTGGTGAGGTTTGTAATGGTCCTTAAAGAGCACATTCCAGTCTTGGGCCAGCTCCAGACAAAGGTCAGTCTCCTAAACAACCTAGCTTTACCCTTATTGTAGAGACAGTGTTCCACTGTGCCACAGGAGCAAAAGTTGTCAACCGTGGCTCTCACGCCAGAGCTATAGTCTATCTTATATGTACACTGAGTCTCTTCAGTAAGGACAAATGCAGAGTACTCCACTTAGGAAGGAACAACCAGTTGCACACATACAAAATGGGAAATGACTACCTAGGAAGGAGTACTGTGAAATGGGTCAGTGGATCATAAGCTAAATATGTTAAAAAAACCTCATTCTGGGATTTTGGGGGGGGGGGGTGCATTAGCAGGGGTGTTGTAAGCAAGACAAAAAATAATTCTTCTGCTCTACTCCACACTGATTAGCCTCAACTGGAGAACTGTGTCAAGTTCTGGGTGCCACATTTCAGGAAAGATGTCGACAAACTGAAGAAAGTCCAAAAAGCAACAAAAATGATTAAAGGTCTAGAAAACATGACCCATAAGGAAAGATTGAAAAAAAAATGGTTTTGTTTAGTATGGAGAATAGAAGACTGATGGGGGACATGAGTTTTCAAGTATACAAGAGTTATTACAAGGACGAGGAGGGAGAAAAATTGTTCTCCTTAACCTCAGAGGATAGGACAAGAAGCGATGGGCTTAAATTGCAGCAAGGGCAGTTTAGGTTGGACATTGGGTAAAACTTCTTTAAACTGCTTCATAATTGGAGATTTTTAAGAGCAGGTTAGACAAACACCTGTCAGGGATGGTCTAGATCAGTGGTTCTCAACCCATTTACCACTGTGTACCGTATATGCAGTTCTGTGTTAGGTGGGCCACATCCACACAAAATATACTACTTTTATGCCCCAAGGATTTCACATGGGCTGCAGTTATGTGATGACTGGGCCGCATGCAGCCTATGTGTTGAGAACCACTGGTCTAGATAATACTTAATCCTGTCTTGAGTGCAGGGGAGTGGACTAGAAGACTGAGGTCCTTTCTAGTTCTAGGATTCTAGGAATTCAGGCAATTGAGCGCCTTGAAAATAGTTAGATGTTTTAAAAGAGGATGCTATTTAGGATACTATTCCTGTCTAATGGAGATGTTTCTGTAGTTTGATATGAGAAACATGGCAGGGCTCCAAATAGGCCTCTGACTGATCATTGGCCTGAGTAGGAGGGATTTTTGACAATGACCATTTTGTATGTATAAGAATTAAGTCTTCGACAAGATCTGCAATGTTTAGAAGATGAAAGTGTTATGAAACCACTGAACTGTTCTTCCAATAATTCTTCATTCCAACTGTAAGTTGTGAGTTAAGTTACTTAATGAAACTACAAAAAGGATTAAGCCAAAATTGCTTTGATTTTTCAAAAGATAAGGAATCTGTTTTAGCAATTATTTCCAATAGATTCCAGAACAAAAAAGCCCTGAATTAATCTTATTTGGCAACATTTTTTGCTTACATCCAGTTGTTGCATCTTTAAGTCTTCAGAATGGTGGTTTGTTGTACCACCACTTAATAGCAAGCATACGACCATGGCAATTTTGTTCATGTAAACTTAAATAATTAAATACTTACAACTAGATCACTTATAAACCCTTGGACAATTATTCTCCTTTCATGTGCTTACAAAAGGATAAAGTGTTGTCTCATAAGCTAAGACTTAATATTCCAGGTCCTTAAAACTATGCTCTGAAAAGTGTGAAGAGGACAAATTTACCTGCAAGTGCTGTCTGTCAATGAAGAGAAACACTGACTGGTTAGGATTGTTGATAACAATTCCAGTCTTGTCCTTTCGGCTCAGAACATGCAGAAACTGTTTTTCATAGTCACCATGATGAAATTCAAACTTGGCCTGTACAGGAATAAAGGCAGTGTTTACAAACAAAGCTTACCACATTAAATTACTAACATTCTGTGTTTGATCTGAGTAGGTTCAGACTCATAAAATCCAGAGCTGATCCCTCTCTACTGCTCAGATTTAAGCTTGGGGGAAGAGACACTATGATCAGTTTTACTGCTGCTCATTAGGTTTTTAAACAGTGGAGAACGTGACCAGAGATGTACATTTCATTCTGCTACTGGACAGAGACGTAAGCAGTGCGGAGGCACATGAGCAAGCTGCATTATTATAACAAAGAAAAAAAAGCTCTAGGTTTATTTATTTTGCACACCTGACAGCACTTCAGAGTATTGTCAGTTTTTCCTGAAATATGGGTGTCAATTATGAAGGGGGGGGAGAAGAGAGAAAAATATTTTAAAAAGTTGAAGTTCAATTGATAAAAAATGACAATGCAACTGTAGGCCAAGTGTGTAGTACCTAAAAATATCGGTTTGAAATTGACTTTCAAATTAACTGTATCCTTGTAAGAACTCCAAATGGATTAATTATCTTGCTTGATGAGTGTTGCTCCTTAACTTTATCTGAGCAAACTTGCACCCATTTAGCTATATCAGTTTAAACTAGGCTTACCATCCATCCGGGTTTCCCCGGACATGTCCGGCTTTTTTAGCTTTAAATGGCTGTCCGGGAGGGATTTCTAATAAGGTAGAAATGGCCAGGATTTCCCCCTTCCCTTCATGCAGAGTGCGGCACGGCTGATTGGATGGCTGTGCCTGATTGAAAGCCGTTCGCAGCCACTGGGTCCTCTAGCAGCCAGAGTCCCTCCCCCGCTCCCTCCTCCCCCACAAAGCAGCGCCTTATTTGTTTGGCTGCACGTGGAGCCCACAGCTCTCCCTCGGCCTGGGTTGGGGGGGGGGGGGGGGCAGGGC